GTGATTAGGATTCAATTGCAGAAGGTTCTTGCTCAGGGATATGATGACTGTACCTGGACTTTGCAGACTAAAACTGGGAGGTAAGAATACTGGATTTCACTAGTTTTGGTTCCTTTTTGCATTGAGTATCATGTTTGGTAATCGATAGTTGTATGGTGCACTTTTGATGTGTTTTGTTTGTAGCATCTAGTGTGGTTGAATGTATAGTTTACTCTGCTTTGTTGCTATATTTGTGTGTCTGTATGGGGAGCATCTTTCAATAGTCATGTTTCTACATTGAGCACACACTAGCCTTCAAATTGGTTTCTCTGGAACTGATGAGATAGAACTGGACTTTTTGAGATATCATAATCTTCTTAAAGCTGGTCGTTGAGTCGTACCATTTTTTTTTTTTTTGGAAAGAAGAAAGATAGAGATATGCACAATCAAAGAATTGTTTACTCATGAAAAGCTACCAAAGAGTTGTATGGTGCACACAGACTGTGTTGCTAATTGGAATTTCTTGTTTTCATATATTCCCGAAATGTCAGTTACAACAATATGCAAAGATTTTGGTATCTTGTCCTCAGCGATTGCTCCTTGTCGAAAGATTGGTTCTTTAATTACAGATCTTCTGAAAATGCATCACCTTTCTGTCTTGCAGATTTGCCGGAGAAGTAAGACTCATATTGCATTATCCAGGAGCAAAGGTAAAGTCATGACCCAACTAGCAACATTGAGTTATACAGGTTCATTCGTAAACAAAGCTAAACAGACAATCCATTTTTTGTATGCAGAAACAGAATTACGGGTCTGCGCCATCCGCACCACCGTATGCGCCTCAAGTACCTCACTACTCAGCACCGCCTTCTCCATCTCCGTATTCATCAGCACCATACTCTGGACCATCTCTATACCCACAAGTACAATACTCTCAGCCACAATCTGCATACCCACCAGCTTCAGCTTATCCTCCTCAGCCATCTGCCTATCCTCCTCCCTCAACCTCGGCTTACCCTCCGGCTCCTTCAGGTTATCCTCCCGTTCCTTCAGCTTACCCTCCTCCTCCACCATCCTCAACTTACCCTCCGTCTCCATACCCTCCTCAACCATCACCATATTACCCACAAGGTACATAAATGTTATTTTTTGTGTGTAGATGCTATAATAGGAAGTTCATTCTCCAAATAAAACCACAATCTTTACCTTGTCAACAACCAAAATCCTTTTGTTAATTGTAAACAAAAGGAGAAACTTTGTTATGCGTTTGGCGTTTGTGTTTAAAATTTGCATAAAACGATTGATGTACATAAACTCAAACGCAAATGCAGAATTTGGGTGTGTTTCTTCTTCCATCTTTGCATAAGATCGATCTCTAATGATGACTAATGGTGGTTGGTATTTGTTTCCAGGTCCATACCAAGGACAATACCCGCCTCCTCCGTACTAAAGTTCTTGCGTTTAGGATCGACGGACAGCGGTTAATGATGTATAGATAATATAGCTATGGTGTTTCTAGAATTTGGTCACGGATGTTTTTTCATTTTTTTATATCTTCCCCTTTGCAAATTATAGCGTAATGGTTAGTTTTTTTTGTGATGGTCAGCGAAACTTATTGAGGAGTTTGGATCTTTTTCATGTTGTTATTAGCCAGATTGCAGATTCTCTTTCTAAACTATTGAATTACCCTTCATTTTGTATTTGTTTAGTATATCATCTTCAGTCAAAATTTCTTAACTCATTAAGATTTGGGACCATATGCTTTCACAGCTTTACGGCCTCGAATCATCATCACATTCTATAATCAGAAAATTAGAAAAAGTTATTTGGTCAATGTTTTAACAAAAATATACATTATTGTTGACAATGAGCATAAAGTTGTCGAATTATATAGTTAATTTAGCCGACAGATTTTACTGCACTTTGGTTTCTCGATCTCTACTCCAATGAGTAAAAAAGTTGGTAAAGCGG